GCACCATTGAACATTGACCAGGATCTCTGTGTTTTATCTGAGGATGACTGTGGTAGCCTTCTCACTGTTCACTGTCACAAAGCACCAGACTCTGTCCACCTTCTTCAGATGTCGATCAGCTCCTCTGGGTGATGGCAGAGAGGACTCTTCATCTGGGAGAGCTGCTGGTGTAAGGTCATTTCTACCACAGTGGATGAGCAGGGCATCTGGCACAGCTCTTAGTCAAAGCACAGGTGAAAAAAGGAGGAGGTTCCTTCAAACTATGTAACCCTAGCCTGACCTCTGTAACAGGTGTGCAGATGAAGGTTGAAATGAGTCATTTTTAGGTTCTGTTGATTGTAAAATGGAAAAGAAAACATCACCTTTCTATTTAACATTTAGCTGGTGTATGACTCAGTGTGATTTTTATTTTAGAAGACTGTATTGTTAACAATAGCTTGTTTTGACAATCCTCTTATGAAACTTCAAAAAAAGCTTGCGCTTTAACTTACGCTTCACCTCTGTGGAAGATGTCAGACTTGCTGCTTTTATCTCTTCTTTGCCTAAATGAAGATACATAAAACAATTGATTTACTGTTCACTTAAATATTTTAGAAAAGCAGACAGGTGATAAACCTCGAGGCTCGCTCACATTAAAATTGTTGGTCTCCCTGAAAAGATCGAGAATGGTCGCCTAACAGAGTTTATTCCTGAGCTTCTCGGTGCAGGTAACTTTCCAAAGCCACTTGAAGTTGATCGTGTGCACCGTATGGGTAAGCTACTCTCTGGTAAAGACGTGCAGCCGCGCGTAATGATTGCCTGGATCCATCATTTCCAGATGAAGGAGAAGATACTGCAATTGGCCCGTCAACAATTTCCTCTGTGCAACAATGGCAAAGCAATTCATATCTTTCCCGATTACCCGGCGGAGGCGATGAAGGAACGGCAGGCATTCGATGGTGTCCGTAGGAGTCTTCGGGATGCTGGTGTAAGGACAGGCTTCATTTAACCGTCAAGGCTGCATGTAACCCACGGTGACTTGGACAAGGTGTTTTCATCGCCGCAGGAAGCTGAGGGTTTTGCAAAAACTTTGATTTGAACATTGGCTGCCCATTTACTGACCTGGCATGGTATGACCTTCTGGTATGTGACTCTTACTGTGCAGTTATTTAGGCATGGACATTTTCATGACCACTACTATGTTTGTTTACATTGCTTGAGAGGGAGCCATGAGGTTACAATGTTAGCCTAGCTTTAGCTTGACGGTTCATATGGTCCGGCAACCCCTGTGTGAGTATTTTGGGTCTTTGCTCTCACTTTGTTTGGGAAAGTGAGGCGGGGCAAGGGGGGTAATGTTCTTAAGGTTCTGGTTTGCATTGTTTCTTTATTATTTTTGTTTTCTAAGGGCTGCATGTATGTATATTGACACAGTTTTAATTAGATATGCATCCTAGTTTACTTCATTTACTTTATTACTTTACATTACTTTTACCAGCTGGAATGTCCGGGGAATGGGGCACGTAATTAAACACGCATGTTCTCTCATTTAAAGGCCCTCTCTGCTGATATTGTTTACTTGCAGGAAACACATATTAATCCTATAAAAGATCAATTACTAAGGTGTACCTGGGTCAACCAGGTCTTCCAGTCAACGTTCTCCAGTAAGGCCCGGGGAGTGGCAATTTTGATTCGTAAAACTGTTCCATTTAGGCATGTTTGTGCTCTGAGTGACCCTAACGGCAGATATGTTCTGGTGACAGGCTACATTTATTCATTCCATGTTACACTTTTGAATATTTATGCCCCAAATTTTGATGACCCAACCTTCTCCAGAAAGATATTTGGTTTACTCTCCAACCCCTCAGATACGCATATTATAAGCGGTGGCGACTGTAATTGTGTGCTTGATAGTTTTTTGGACAGGTCGGCAAATACAACCCAATTACCTGCATCCTCCATGATGTTAAAGAATTTAATGTCTTCTATGAATCTAGTCGACATCTGGAGACTGCAGTATCCCACAAACAGGGATTATTCTTTTTTTTCCACCAAGACGTTTTCAAGGATAGATTTTTTTCTTACTAGACTCCAGTTTGATATCTAATGTGATCTCTACAAAGTATCAATATATTTTAATTTCAGACCATTCTCCAACCTCACTAGTCCTCGACCTTAACCATAAGAAACAACAGTACAACTAGCGCTTTCGCTGCTCTCGGATGCATCATTCGACCAGTTTATGTCTGCTAAAACTAGTTTCTGGAAACTAATGATAACTCTGAGGTTAGTGACTCTACCTTGTGGGAAACTTTTAAGGCAGTGAGCAGAGGGCATATCATTTCATTTGAAACTGCAATAAGAAGGGAAAAGCGAAAGCGACTATTAGAGATCGAAGGTCAACTATCGCAGTTGGAAACAACTTATAGGTCCTTCTCGAACCCTTCTATTCTACAGAATATCCTAAAGTTGAAGTATGAATATAACACTATTTTATCTGACCAAGTGCGGGACCAGCTGTTTAAATTAAGGCAAAAACATTTTGAACTAGGGGAAAAAATATTGTCCCGGCAGCTGAGAGGTTTACAGGCCAGTAGAGCCATTCATAAAATTAGATCAAAATCTGGGGAAATGGTTGTGGACCCAAAGGGCATTAATGATCGATTTAAGGAATATTACCAGCAATTATATATGTCAAAAGCAAATGGAGACGCCTCGAGTTGGCTGGGAGGTCTAGATCTCCCTAAGCTGAGCAAGGCTGCACATGATGCTATAAACTCAGACATCACCATTCAAGAAATTTTAGATGCTATAAGATCATTTCCTAATGGTAAGACTGCAGGCCCGGACGGTTTCAGCATTGAACAGTATAAAAAATACTCTGAGAAGATGTTCTCTCCTGTTGAGGCTGTTTACCCACTCATTTGAAGCACATACATTTCCAAACACTCTGTATGAGGCCAATATCTCATTAATACAAAAAGAGGGCAGGGATGAGACAGAACCTTCATCTTTTCGACCTATTTCCTTGTTAAACTCTGACATGAAGATTTTTACAAAATTATTAGCAAATAGGTTAAAAAATCATATAACTTCCATTGTCCATGCTGATCAAACGGCTTTGTCCCTAACAGGTTTTCTTTTTTCAAAGAATGATGGGTCGCATAAATGCTATTAAAATAGCATTCTCCCTTCCGAGATTTCTGTACCTTTTTCAAAATCTCCCCATTTTTCTGACAAGATCTTTTTTCAAATCATTAGATTCAATAATTATGCCTTTCATTTGGGGTTTTAAAGCTCACAGAATATCAAAAATACATCTACACAAGTCAAAAGAGAGAGGTGGGTTAGGATTGCCGTGCTTTCTGCATTATTACTGGGCGGCAAATCTGAGAGCCCTTGTATACTGGCAGGAAGGTTATGGGAGAGAAGTTTCAACAAACACCCCGGCTTGGGTTGCCATTGAAAAGAACAATGTTGAAAATAGCTCGCTTACAGCTCTTCTTTTCTCATCATCTGGACTGCCTGCAACAACAAAAGTCAATAACCGAATAATCCTTAACTGCCTGAAAATATGGCAGCAAATTAGGAGGAGCTGCAAATTGCCGGACACCTCTACTCATACGCCAGTTTATCGTAACCATGCATTCCTACCATCCATTTCAGATTCTACTTTTGACATTTGGAGACTAAAAGGTATAGTCACTTTAAAAGATCTGTATATTGATAAACAATTTGCCTCATTTACTCATCTTAAAAACAAGTTCTCTCTTCCTTCTACACATTTTTTACGTTATTTACAAATAAGGAACTATGTACATCAGTGTGTGCCTAACTTTGAGTCTCTCCCTGAAGAAAAAAGGATTTACAAGCTATTGCTGATCCCACCCAATTCAAGAAATTTAGTTTCTGAACAAGTAAATTCTGCCACTCTCCACCTGAAAAGTGCCTGGAAGGAGGGTCTGGAGATACAGATTGATGATGACGTGTGGGAGGAGAGCCTGAGCAGAATCCAATCATGTTCCATTAATGCTCGCACCAGTTAATTCAATTTAAAGTAATACACAGGCTCCATTATTCTAAATCTAAACTGCATAGGATTTTCCCCACAATCTCTTCTTTGTGTGATCGCTGTAAATCTGCTGAGGGCTCCCTGTCCCACCTTTTTTGGACATGTCAAAGGCTGTACACATTTTGGTGTGAGATATTCAACTGGTTTTCTGTAATGTGTGGCTGTGTGTTCAAACTTTTTTTGATTATCTTGCCCGACTGGACAGAGTTCCCGGACAATAACTGATTTTACTGCTCACCGCTTACCTCTTAAACGTTTGTCTTAAGAAATATTGTGCTAGTGATGCAATGTAGCATAATGTCCTGCAAAGTAAGCCCTGTTTTTTTTTTTTGGTTTGTTTTTCTGTCTGACTTTATTCTTTATATTCTGTAAAACTTGGTTTAAAACACACACACACACACACACACACACACACACACACACACACACACACACACACACACACACACACACACACACACACACACACACACACACACACATGATTTGCAAGTCTTGACTTCAGCAGAAGTGAGTCATCATTCTGTAACGTCTCCCTCTCTCATCTACAGGATGCACCTGCAAGCCTCGTGTCCTCATTTGACCTCATGTAAATTAGGGGTTGAGGACCTTTCTGTTACTTTATGCTTGACTGGAAACATGCTGATGTTTTAATGAATAATAATTCAAAAGTTTGGGTTTCTAATATTGTACATATTTACAGGCCACACATGTTAACATGTCACAAGTGATTCAGAGATATATTGGCAAACTACCTTTAAATATAGAACATATACATTTATAAGAGACAATACAGATTCACTCTCATTGTAAACTTGGCAGTAATACACTGTATATATTTGAGTTTTGAAGTGAGGCAGAAAAAAAAAAGCTAAAACAGTTAGATTGAATCAAAGCTCCTCCTCCTGTCACTCACTCTCAGTCTCTGTGCTGTATTAAATGGCTCCTCCAGCTCCTCCTCTCCTCATCCTCCAAAGCCTCTAATCTGTCAGCAGTGAGCTCACTTTCCAAGTTCCAAGGCCATTCTCAGCACACACTGACAACATGCTGGGGACCCTGTGCACTCTCATCACTGCTCTAACATGTAAGGAGGCTGACTTACTGCAGCTTTGAGCTCATGTTGGATTCATCAGTCTGTGTGTTTCTCTTGACTCCATGTCATCTTGTTGTTTCCAGGTGTGAGTGCTGTGACGCTGGTGACACAGAAGCCTCCTGTTGTGACTCTGAGGAGAGGAGAGACAGCCACCATGGACTGTAACCTGGGGACTGTGACTAACGATTATGCTCATTGGTACAAACAGATTCCAGGAGGAGTTCCTCAGTATATTCTCAGGAACTATCACAGCTGGAGCTCTCCAAGCTATGGCTCTGGTTTCTCCTCTCCAAAGTTCACATCCACTCATCAGTCACAATCAGATTATCGTTTGATCATCAGCACTGTGGAGGAGAGAGACTCAGCAGTTTATTACTGTAAGACATGGGACAGCTCTGTCAGTGAGTACGTATCACAGTGATTTACACCGTGACAAAAACCTCCTCACTGAACACTTCTGCTTTTTGAGTCTCTTTCATATCTAACGCTCCTTGTAACTGCTCTACTCTAGAATTTGTAATGACATCAAACAAGTGTCCTAAATGTATTCTTAAAGGACAGAAACCTCATCTCATTTATTACTACACATAAGAAGAAAAAACTTTGTGGTCAGATCTCTCATGATACTCCTGAAGTAAAATTGAACATCAATGTAAATATTTGAGCATGAACCTTGGTGCAACACAAACATAAGACAAATTGAGCTCTACTCCTTGTGGACATTATTGTGGAGAGCTGTAGCCTGGTTGTTCAAAGTAAAACAAATATTTGCTTCTTCGATGTCAGCAGGCCAGTATGTTCCCACGACCAAAACCAAATCAATTGATGGCCAACAAGCTTTATCCCTGGAGGATCTGAAAGTGGCAGAAAGAAGATCATTTCCCATGAGCGACAGCATTTCTTTCATTTTAAACTTATTAACTTAATGAAAGGCTTTAAAGTAGACAACTCCATCTGTAAACTGGAGAAGAAATAAATTGCTTATATGTGACATGTTCCAAATGATGGAGCAGGTCACATATGAGCACAGCTGTGATGATCGTTGACATGGCTGAATCACAGGCGTGCTGATATTCAGAACAACAGCACTCCCTCCCGTGTTATATTGCTTAACTGTATAAAGTACTGTATTACACTGAGCAATGTTGGTGAGAATGTTTTACACTGATAAGAAAAAACAATCACTTTCTAACTCAGGGGCTCACTCATCCTCACCTTCTGATCATCTGTATATTCTTCTAGAGTTTTATTTCTTGAGTTTATGAAGAGAAGATTTTACACTCACAATATGAGACACCAACACATGTCACAAGAAAGTCAAATATTCCATCAATTACAAGAATTTGCTTTGAGATATCAACTTTTCTTGTTTGATTTGTTGCCACTAAGGCTGCACGGTGGTGCAGTGGTTAGCACTGTTGCCTCACAGCAAGGAGGTCCTTGGTTTGAATCCCTGTCAGACAGGAGTTTTTCTGTGTGGAGTTTGCATGTTCTCCCTGTGCATGTGTTGGTTGTCTCCGGGTACTCCAGCTTCCTCCCCTCTGTTCAAATGACAGAACCAGATGGATAAAGCACCCAAAATTGCAGGATCACACAAGTGAGAATTCAGTAAAAGCAAAGTCTGATAACCAGTCTATGTCAGTACACAGGTAGGAGTAAAGAGGAGCAGACTAATCCAAAAATGACAGGCAACAGACAAAAATGAGATGGTAGGCAAGGTAAATAAAAACACTACAAGGCTCACTGGAAGAGAAAGGCTGGTACTAGGTGACACAAGGAACACACTACGAGCTGGCAACATGATGGAGGAAACAGAGATTATATCTCACTTTTATAGACTTGCTTTTATGTGATTTCTCCTTTAAAGATCTATCTCTTCCTTTTATTAATTGTATTGCTTTTAACCTTTTTATCTTCCTCTTCTTTAAATGGTTTAGCCTTTAAATGTATCCCTTCCTGTATTCATTTACTGCTCTTATTCTTTTTAAATTCCTACTCCATTTATCGTTTAACTCTTCAGCTCTCTGTTGCTTTATTCATTTAAACAATGTCCTGTTTAGCCCTTCTTTTTATCTTCATTCTGTGTTTACAGCCTGTGATGTGATGTCGTCCCACTCTCCCTCAATTTTAATTTTGTTCTCTCCTGGTTGATTTTAAACTCATTTTTCCTTCATTGTACTGAACTGCCTCTCCATACCTGCCTGTTGAATCTGTCTTATTCCTGATATTTGCATCTTTAAAATGTTGCTCTCTTTGTTTGGCCCCTCTGTTGATCTCTGTTCTGTTGTTGTGTTTCTGTATTTGCTTTGTCTGTCACAGCACTTTGTAAACATTTTTTTAAAAAGTGCTATATAAATAAAGCTATTATTATTATTATTATTATTATTATGTCAGACACAGGTGAGCACAATCAGGACAGGGAGGCACAAGGTGGGAAAACACGAGGAGCAGGATCTAGAAGGCAGAGACAGTATGTACAAACTAAAACAGGAACTGACAATAATACTAAATAAATGGGTAGAAACAAAACATGACCTAGGTAGCTATACGGGTTGTGTCACCAAAGACATGCTCGTTAGGTTAACTTGTGATTCTAAATTAAAAGGTGTTCATGTGAGTGTGGCTGGTTGTCGGTTGTAACACACCTCTCGCCTAATGACAGCTGGATCGTCTCCCGCCCCCCGAGACCCCTAATGGGAAAAGCATTAAAAGATAATGGATGGATGGATTTGTTGCCACATTCTTGAAGAGAAGTAAACTTTAGTGTGTACTATAAGTGTATACAATTCCTGAAAATGTATTTTACCTCTATCCATGAAGTCATTTTGTTCTAATTCAGGCTTGAAAGGCAAATATAAGTGAGTACTGAGTATCAACACAGTGTGATAGATTCATTAAGGACACCACTTAATAGAACTCTACTTACATCAATTAAGGATGAAAAAGGAGTTTGAAATGATTCAGTCGATTATTGATTCATTTGGTTGTTTGATGAAAAATGAACAAAGGAATCAATTCTGATGCAGCTCATTAACAGATATGAATTAGTTGATAAGGAATCATATGATGACACAAGTTGAAATGACAAGCATGATGATTGAAATAAGTGTTGAGTGTGTAAACTCCTCTTCTTCTTCTCCTCTGTCTTTAATGATGTGTTTCCAATTAATTATTCTCAAGAGTCATTATAAATATGCAACATGCTGTCTTAGTCAGAAGTCATTTCATAAGAATATAACATTTCATGAGATATACAATGAGAAATATTAAGAGATTAAAAAAAAACATGAACCCTGTAGTAAATGATAAGATCTGAGTGCATAAACTCCTCTTCCTCCTGTTCCTCCTCCTCCTCCTCTTCCTCTTCCTCCTCCTCCTCCTCTCCTCAGTGTCTTTATAAGCTTCAGTGTCTCTTCTCCTCACACTCCAACCCTGCTCACCTCTCAGCTGGACAGTAAGGGACGTTTACAGCACACACTGACAACATGCTGGGGACCCTGTGCACTCTCATCACTGCTCTAACATGTAAGAGATTCTTCTCAGTCCTTTCACACACCATCATTTCACACACAAACCTTTCACTCATGTCTTTTTCTCTGTGTGTGTGTTACAGATGTTGATGCAGTGATAGTGCTGACCCAGACGCCTGCTGTCCACACAGTTTCTACAGGACAACAAGTTGATCTTCAATGTAACATCCAGAGAGATGATGGATATTATGTCTCCTGGTACAAACAGGTTCCTGGTGAAGCTCCTCAGTATGTTCTGAAATTTTACCACTCTCAAAACTCACCTGACTTTGGATCAGGATTCTCCTCAGACAGATTCAACTCTAAATCTTCATCAAACATAGATGATCAGTTCATCAATATAATAACAGAAGATGATTTCTTAGAGAGAGAACATTTCATGAGAAGTGTGACGAAAGTGAGATAACCTGAGAAATGTTCAATCAGAAACATTCTTTATACTCAACCTGTTTACTGCACAAACTCAAATACACAAGTGTGAGAACACATTACACTTCAAATCATGTAGACTTTATTTCTTCATTAGATTATAAACACTGATCTCAAAGACATGAGGAGGCCTCTAAAGACAACAGGAACAACAACATGACAAACAGGAAGAAACAGACATAAATCCTGTCTGTTATTAATGAATGAAAACAGTGCTGAGTGTGTAAACTCCTCCTCTTCCTCCTCCTCCTCCTCCTCCTCTTCCTCCTCCTCTCCTCCTCCTCAGTGTCTTTATAAGCTTCAGTGTCTCTTCTCCTCACACTCCAACCCTGCTCACCTCTCAGCTGGACAGTAAGGGACGTTTACAGCACACACTGACAACATGCTGGGGACCCTGTGCACTCTCATCACTGCTCTAACATGTAAGGAGGCTGACTTACTGCAGCTTTGAGCTCATGTTGGATTCATCAGTCTGTGTGTTTCTCTTGACTCCATGTCATCTTGTTGTTTCCAGGTGTGAGTGCTGTGACGCTGGTGACACAGAAGCCTCCTGTTGTGACTCTGAGGAGAGGAGAGACAGCCACCATGGACTGTAACCTGGGGACTGTGACTGATAGTTCTGCTCGTTGGTACAAACAGATTCCAGGAGGAGTTCCTCAGTATATTCTCAGGAACTATCACAGCTGGAGCTCTCCAAGCTATGGCTCTGGTTTCTCCTCTCCAAAGTTCACATCCACTCATCAGTCACAAACAGATTATCGTTTGATCATCAGCACTGTGGAGGAGAGAGACTCAGCAGTTTATTACTGTAGCACATGGGACACCTCTGTCAATGAGTACGTATCACAGTGATTTACACCGTGACAAAAACCTCCTCACTGAACACTTTGAGTCTCTAAGAATATCTACTAATTCTCCCTGTAACTACACAAGACTTTAGGATGATCACTCAGTGTCCTTAATGTTTTTACATATCAATTAATTAAAATTAACTACAATACAATAACATGATAATGCAAAGAAGAGTTGATTAAATCCCACTAGGGGCTTGTAAAGTGGGGTTCTCTACAAAGACTATAAAAAAGAAACTGTAACAGCAGTGACGGAATAATTTGTACACAATGCTTATTTTTCAACTAATATTTAAGAAATTCCATAAAGATCAACAAAATGCATTGAGGTAGCCTTTTGTAAATACCGATCTATTTGTGTATTGAAACAAAAGTGTATTGAAAGTCATCAAACAGAATTAAAACCTTCTTTCAAAGGTTGAAGAAGTTACAAACACTGAGATTAATATCAGAACCAGATAGAGACAGGGACTCAAAAGCAGACTCACATGTAGATGAGTTCAGAAAAAGGCAGAGTTTAATTACGGTCCAGGTCGGTACACAGGAAGGCAAATCTTCAAGGCAAACAAAGCCAAAGGGAGCAGGCAAAAGGCAAAACGGTAAGGCAGACACAGTCAAAAATCACTATAAAGCTACAAGGAAACATGCTGGAACAAGGTGACACACAGGAACACACTGCGAACTAGCAACATGAGGGAGGAAACACAGGGATATATACACACAGACAATCAGGGGATAACGAGACACAGGTGAGCACAATCAGGACAGGGAGGCTCAAGGCAGGAAAACATGAGGAGCAGGATCTGAAAGACAGAGACAAGGGTAAGTACAAAATAAAACAGGAACAGACAATAATACTAAATAAATGATTAAAAAACAAAACATGACACTAGGTAACTTTACGGATCCTGTCAGTGTCACATGACTTTGGAAACCTGCTGCTGACATGAGAAGCGAAGGCCAAGCAGCAGGGCGGATGCACACACACAGACGGCATACCGCATTTCAGCAACAAACTACATGTGAGAGAGAGACTTTGAGAACACGAGTAACCTATTCATAGCTTTCAGTGACGTCATCAGCACGGAGGGCTGGAGGGCAAAAAACACTCAGGAAAGTAATGGCCATCGTTGAAAACCCTGTAGAACTGCATCACTGGCTTTTAATTTAACATCTCCTAAAACGACACATGTTTACATCACCTGACAACCATAGCAAAACCATATTAAGATAAACTTTTTTTTGGGCACTTGCGATACTTTAACGATACTTTGCGATACGGGACACTATTTATATCGCTCGAAACGGCAAAGTCTATGCCGGTGTAACGTTTAAAAGAGTTACCATGATAACTGGTGACTGTCAGCCGAGTGAGTCTGGTTGTCGTACGTTACGTGTCCTATCAAAAGCCTATTTGTTTGGCTTTCATTTAAACATATCTCATAAACAATTTTGACATTATGCTAATACAAAAACGGAACAAAGAGGTATTTGTTAGGACACTTTCAGTCGCGTTTGTCTGAATGTCATCAGTTAACATGGTCACTCTTTTAACCCGTAACACCAGAACGTCACTTCAGTGATATTGCTGATAAATAGAGGAGAATCCCTCCCCTTACATCACTGTAGGATGAAAGTCTACAAACATACAGGCAGCTTTATGTATTATTGATCGGGGTCGATAATGCTGCTGTTTGAGAAGTGAAGGGCAAGAAGTTCCTTATCATTCAAGCATCGTGAGTGCTACATAGCTAACATTAGTTAGTTAGCTAGCGATAGTATCAGGATAGTATCAGCTGTCAATCTTAGTGTTCTGGGGCAGTAATTTGAGTTAACGGTAGGAATATTTAGAATTAGTCAACACTATAATTGATGTCAGGATGAGGAGAAGTCTGATGTTTCCCCCCACAGGGGCTGTGGAGGGTCTAACTTAATTAATCCACAAACGTCCTCCTTTCTGTTTTTTTCTCAGATTAAATTCTGTAAAAGCAAAACTCGGGCTCGTCTCCTCACCAGTTAGTGTATCTATTAGACAACACTTGTATTTAATTTGAAAAAATGTCAAATAAAACAGATAGAAACACGTAGGGGGCCACTGAGACCAGTAACTTCTCAGTAGCGTACTGTGGTAGAGAGACTTTCTTGCCCTCCAGGTGGGCGGTTCCATACGAGTGTGACGTCACGTGAAAGCTATGAATATAACATACCAGGTCTCAATCAAACAACCAATCAGGATTAGCCTGCATGTAATTAGCCAATCACAGCAACTCTATGAAGAGATTATTTGCATTGCAAACATGTTGTCATGACAACAGTTGACTACATTCTATGAGAATGTCCATGTTGTTTGTTTCAACTTTAAATTTCAAATCAAAATAAAATAAAGACCAAAGGAATGGAATGTAATGATGTCACATATAATTTAGAGTATAGACCAGAGGATTCGATTATACAAAAGGATTAGTGTTTTGGAAACTGTTTTACAAACCTTATTCATTTTCACTTCAAATTGCAACCAATAATGACTTGCAACAATACAACCATGAGACTTGGATTCAGTCGTGAAGCCCCAAAGAACCACACTGGTGCTCGTCGCTACCGCACAGTAGCTCCTACCTCTCAGGTAGATGAATCCCTGTTTGGGAACAAAATCATGCTTGACAGACGTGGTAAATCAAATTCTTCTAGAGAGTCCATCGTCTTGTCATCATCTGAGTGGCAGCCGATTCTCTCAGCATCCAAGATTACTGCCAAGGTTGAAATGAATGCTCATCAGAGGAAGAGGAGAGAGTATAAAGCAGCAGAATCCATCAGGCATAGATTAATTGAGGTAAATAATATCCGCAAGCAGAACATGCCACCTTCTCAGATGGAGATTCAGGCCCAGGACCGTTCAAAGAAGACGTTGGAGCGGGCCAATACTCTCATTATGATGCAAGAAGATGAGATCAAGGAGCTCAACAAGGTGATTCTGGCTACTCAGTGTCAAGAGATACGTGAGGTCCAGATCATGGAGAAGAGACAGATCCAGGCCGAGTTGGCAGAAGAGGAGAAGCTCCTGAATGTCACGGTAGAGATGGAGCGCCTCAAAGCCATAGAGGCCATTGAGCAGGCTGATGCACTCCACAAACAAAAGCTAAACAGAGTGATGAAGCATAATCTCAACCAAGTATCACAAAACATTCATTCAAACAAGCAGGTGCAGGATGAGATGAAAAGACAGGAGGAACAGACAGTACAAGAGAGAGAAAGAAATGGAAACTGGAGGACCTCAAAGCCCTGGAGCAGAAAAGAGAGCACAACAGCATCTACACGAAGAGCGTAAGCACATCAAAGCAATGAAAATGCTCGCCAAGACGCAGAGGATGGAGGAGGAGAAGCTGGCTGACATTGAAAACGCAGAGTTCATCCAGAAAAAATGAAGCAGGAGGCTGAACAGGAAGCAGCGCAGAAACGCAAAAAGAAAGAGAGGGAGTTGGAGCATGCTAAGATGTTTGCTCGGCAGAAAGAAGTTAGAGACAACAAGGCAGAGCAGGATGAGATCCACACTAAGAGGATCAAAGAAATGGAAGACAGCAAATGGAGGAGAAAGAGAAAGATCTGGCTGCAAAGACAGTACAAGAGGAAGCAAAGATGCGCACCGATCGCTTGGAGCAGTCGCACTCCAAACAGTACTACCAGAGTAGAGAGGTCATGCTTCAGAAAGAAGAGTTTGAGCGGGTGTTAAAGGCGTCACAGTACAGCCTCAGTAAAGAGAAGGAGGAAGAGGAGAAGAAGCGTAAGAACGCAGCAAACTACTTAGAGGCCTTACAACATCAGAAAAAGGAACAGGATCACTCGGCCATTGCAAATCGCGAAAAGATCATGAAAGAGGCTCATGATTTGATTGAAGCAAATAAGCTGAAACGTGTGCAAGTTGATGAGACTAAACAACACAAGCTGAAGGAGTTAAAGGCTACAGGACTCTCTGAAAATACTGCAGTGTGGTGGAAAGGAAAGTTAACAACAAGAAGACACTAAAAGACCAAAGAGCCAGTGATAAGACACACAGTACAGAGGGAACACTCCTTAATACCATGGGCAGATGACGCAGGGTGGAAAAGGAAGTGAGAGGCAATATAAGAAACATTTAAATTTGCTTGCTGCTGAGGAGGTAGAAAGTGAGAGACAGGACAGACAGCAAAACAACATAGCCATTATCCAGCATCAGAATGATAAGGAACAACATCAGAAAAAGGAACGGGATCACTCGGCCATTGCAAATCGCGAAAGACTCCCAAGACAACATCAAAGACAACAAGCTGAGGCCAAGAAAATCAATCAAATTCAGCTCACTTCTAGAGATGACCTTGTCCAGAAGCCCTTCCACCTCCCACCTATTCATAATGCTGTTGAACACCCTGTCAGAGGAAGGGTCAGTCCCATTTTTTGCAAGCAGGATCACAACAAGACGGGGCTCGGATATGAAGAGACCAGGATTAGTGATCTGCGACCGACCCGCTTCTCAACTGCACCTCTCTCTCTAAGGGCCGGCTGACCTCTGCAGGGCAACCAAACTTCCGCCTTCCCCCTATCCACAGATAGTTCAAGGAGAGAAGCCTGAACTACAAAATTCCTTTCCTGTCCCACCCACCTCATTCCTCACCATTTCTCTCCAACATTCCCCTTTCCTCCTAACTTTGCTCCATCTACTTCATCTCTTCTATTCTACTTGTACTTTTCTTCTTCTGTTGCACGTGGGTTTTCTCCGGGTACTCTGGTTTGTCCCAACAATACAATATTAAATATAACAATTAGGACCTTAAATTAGTAAAACTTAAATAATAATATATAATAATAAAAATAAAAGAACAAAATATTGTTATTGACTTGAAGCTGTATGAAATAAAATCCTTGTCAATTATTCTTTTGGTCTGCTGTGACTTTATTCATTCTAGTTTGTTTTATTGTTCTGCATTTCTTTATGATCGTGCCTTAACAATGGCAAGGTATTGAAAATAAATTCATTATTTTTAGCTTCCGATACACCAGTCCCTGATCCAATGGTTCTCATCTGATGACACCTCAATAAAGGTTTTTGACAAAACACACTTTGATACATATTTTGTAAATTGCTAAATGTTTTTTCTAAGAAAAATAATGAAGAAATTAAGATTTAAGTTTGATAAGTTTGCTACATTACTTTATTGCTTTATTTATGTTTTAACTCAGTGCTGATTTGCCTTTTCAGAAATTTGATAGCATTTACATTTTTAAAACATGGTATGTGATTCATTATCTTTGTAGAAATAAGGGGGAACTTGTTGCAGATCATTGCTGAAAATAAAGTATCTTTCAGAGGCAGAGTTCTGAGGAGTTCCTCAATATATTCTGAAGAACCATCATTCATATATGTTATGATATATGAATGACGATATACATATATATCGTTTGATCATCAGCACTGTGGAGGAGAGAGACTCAGCAGTTTATTACTGTCAGACATGGGACAGCTCTGTCAGTGAATACGTATCACAGTGATTTACACCGTGACAAAAACCTCCTCACTGAACACTTCTGCTTTTGAATCTCTTTCACATTTAACGCTCCTTGTAACTGCTCTACTCAAGAATTTGTAATGACATCAAACAAGTGTCCTAAATGTATTCTGGACAGAAAACCTCATCTCATTTATTACTACACATAAGAAGAAAAAACT